ATCTTGTTCTCTTAATTACATATCTCGCTCTCTTAATTACTCACTATCAAATTTAGTCCCAAATTATAGAGCTAAAGAAAGAAAGAAAGGGATAAAGGACTTGAGTTTTGTAAAGGTGGTGGTCTCTTTTCGCTCAATTACTCTCAAATGGTTGTATTTGTCTCTGCTCCGCTGTGTAAAACACCTTCATTGGTAAATGAATATAAATGCACCCATCTCTCCGTCCTTTTTCCTCCTTGTCATCTGAACAGGGAACATTGGGGTCATTCTATCACTCTTTCCTCGAGGGCTTTGATGAGGAATTGCTCTGAAGGGTGACGGAGAGATTCACTTTGCATCCTGGAATCAGATGTTATCTAGTTCTCACAGACCCACAGCAGAAAATAGTATTTTCTCTAATATAAGCAATTTAAGGGTGAGCCAGAGGGCATGTCTGAAGATGAAGACGCTGCACTAACCATGTTCCTCAAACAAACAAGGCAGAAAATGCAAGTCTGAAACCCCATAACATATGCGGCTGTCAATCTGATGAACAGTGATTATAGTTGAATGATGTGTAAGGGAAACAGTGATAATTTAGCTCAAAGGGAATCATTTAAGATTTTAAAGGGAACTCCACCAATAATATGTAAGGGAATTTGGACAGAATCACTGTTTACGGCTGATCACTGAGACGGCCAGCGATTCAGTGAACGAGCCGTATGCCATCAATTCTGCAATGGATATTTATATCCAAAATATAGTGAAAACACTATTAATTAGCACAGTAACAAGATCGGCAGTTTAAGACATTAACTTGTGAGCACAAAACACAAGATACTTCTCTTTTCAATATAAATAAGGCTTTATTGGATAAATCTAAGACATATAAACTAATCTAACACATGAACACACGCATTCACACAAGTTGCAGAAAGAGAGAAAGTGAGGAAATAATTAGTTTAAGAGAATGAAAATGTGAAATCCCAAGTTTACAGCAATATGTGCAATTGCATAAATCTGAACAACCATCAATCACTTAATTAACCCTCGCATTGAGTTCCTCAATTAGGTTAAAATTTATATTAAATGCACCAGTTCAGCTAGGATCTGGAGGTACTTGCGTTCCTGTGTGTGGGGTTCCCTTCCTTGTCTGGTTGCCGTAAGGGGTTTCCCGCTTTTCTGATTGGCTGGAGGTTCAGTCTTGTGAAGCCAGTGATTGGGCGTTGGCTGACGACGCGGAGCTGTGGTCT